TTGGAGCTGGGCGTTGACTGCGCCTCGTACCAGATCTTGCTGCAGCAACTGGCGGCCGCCCCTGTCTGTGGGCACAGGCTGTCAGAGGCCATGCTCGCTGGCGCCGCGTGGGCGGGGGGGGGGGGGGGCGGCCCCGTCAACGCAAGATGGATGAGTTGTGCAGGTACACGGGCGGGGTGGAGTGTCTTCGGTGCCGGAAGGCACCGGAGAGCATGATGCACCGCATATGGTTATGTGAATGCAACGAAGGAAATAGCGCATAGGATGAGTCGAACGACCTGATCCCGCAGGCTATCGTCCAGGGCGAGGCCGACCAGGGCTGCTGGCTCAGAGGTCTCATGCTGGCGCCCTGGACGGCAGAGCCAGCACCTTGAGAGACCGACGCCTGGATCGGCACGGAGGGGCTGGGCGGGGAGCTGATCACCGAGGGCTGCGTCGCGGGTGGCTCTGAGCAGGCCCCGCTGTTCGCCTTTGGCGACGCGAGCGGGGGGCCTGGCACCAGCAGCCCGCTCTTTCGCCGCGTCGGTTTTGGAGTTGTTTCGTGCGTGCTCTCGAGCCCGAGCTGCAGCTAGCCTCGACTGTGCGCGGCTCTCTTTCAGGGCCAAGACAGATTGTTGCTCGAGGCGAGCTGCGAGCTTTACTTTTTGCCGCGTGGACGACCACAGGATCCATCGCGTCTATTTCAGATTGCGAACCAGTTGTTTCAGGGTTGATAGCCGCAAGTTCGAAGCGCCTACAGGAGAGGACGCTGACCTGTGGGCCCGCCTGGGGCTTTTGCTGAGAAGAAGGTCGCACGATGCCATCATTGTCCTCTTTGTGAACTCTCACCTGTCTGCCACCGACATCGTGGATGGGAGAGCTCCGCGGTGGATGGTGGCAGGAAATCTTCTAGTTGATGAGATTGCTGTGCAGGCGGCCAGTGAAGCACGCCTACCAGAGGCAGCCCGCCAACAGGTTTTGTTGCGTGAAGGAGTGGCCCGACTCGTCAGGATGCGAATTCTGCGGGCCACTCTCGAGTCCAAGGCTGCTGAAGATAAGGATAGGAACGCTGCGGAGGAAAAAGGTCCTGCCGTCCTTGTCCCCCGTCCCGCCTCCTGCTGCTGCCTCTCTCGCCCTTCTTGCCTCGTCCAATGTGGTGGACAGCGCAGGGTGTAGATTCACCAGGTGCGGAGTCTCGGCGTCGAAGGCGACGCGGACAGCCTGGCTGAAATCCCCGTGCTTCCGCCCGATTAACTATAATGGTGTTTTTCTCGGAAGCCTGACGGCGCTATGTTGCACATTACATGTGGTTATGTCCACCCCAGTCACAGACTGCAGTATCATGGTGATTTGAAGTTGAGGTACTGCGTCAGTTGTGGTAGTTATGGTTCCCAGCAACTCTTGGCCTTGGGGCGTGTGTGTGTGATACCCCCCACACCCTGCAGGGCCGAGTATTTGAGGCTAATCTCCCAAGGCTCGTGGCCAAAGGTCTTGAGCAAAGCCGAGAAGGTCACCAGGAACAATCGCAGGGTTTAAGCGTTGTGGTGGATTGATTGACTTAGTCATATGGTCATGTTCGTGCTCATGCTCATGCTCTTCCTCCTCCTCCTCGTCCTCCTCGTCGTCCTCCTCCTCGTCGTCCTCCTCCTCCTCCTCCTCCTCTCCCTCCTCATCTCCTCTCCCTCCTCCTCTCCCTCCTCATCTTCTCTCTTTCCTCCTCCTGTCCTCCTAATCCTCCTCCTCTTCCCCCTCCCCCTCCTCCCCCCCCCCAGCATCGACGCCAAGACGCAAAACGTCCACTGAGCTTCTAGGCCTCCCAGATGGGGCCGAAAACATGGGGTCGGAGGATGGTGCCGTATCGCGGATGCAACGGCGATGCGGCTTGACGTGGAGACCGATTTGAAAACGATGGCGTCGCCGATGCATTGCCGGTGTCGACGATGCATCGCCGGTGCATCACCGATACATCGCCGATGCATCGCCGATGTATCGGCGACGCGGCGCAATCTTCCGACCCCATCTACTCCGACCCCATCTAGGAGGCGACTATTATCGGCGGCGAGCGAGGGGGGGAAATGAGAAGGAGAAGGCCTTTTCGGAAGGCGGCGGGACTTTTCAGGGGACTCCTCTCAGAAGCCCTCGCCCTTTCTGAGAGTTTTTTTTCTCCTGTATTCGGGGAAGGCTTCTTAGACAAGTTTTCAGAAATCTGGGTGACTTCCGAGCCTTCTGAGAAGGCCCGCCCCTTCTCACTTCACCCCCTCGCTCGCCGCCGAGCCCAGGACTTTGCCGACGCTTGAGGCGGTAAAGGGCAGTATGTTGGCCTGGTCACGGAAACGAGGCACCATTTTGGAGGCCACGGCTTGTCGTCTTCCATGTTGGACAGTGGCAAACAGGGCTGGACCTAAACGGTGTTTTTGATGATTTCGTGGGCCGTTTTCGTTTCGACTCCGTTTTGCGGTAAAGGCGGGTTCGACACAAAAGCGAGGGACAACGAAAACAAAACGAGAACGAAGAACATCGTTTAGGTTCAGCCCTGCTAGCAGACACGTCGACGGCGAAGGAGTTTCCGCAGTCGCGCTTCTGCGTGGGCAAGGCAGCCGGTTCGCTTACGTCGGGCAGTTATGTTGCTCTAGCCAGAGTCCAATGAGCAGGAGGTTATTAGATTTGTGGAAGTCGGTTAATGGAGAGGAAGCATGCTGCCAAATAATGTCCATCTGTCCTAAAAAGTTCAACCACGTTTTAATATGCAAAACACATGTTCGAAACATTTTTAGATCATGTTTTACACGTTTTAATCACATATCAAATTCAATGACAGGACTGTTAGGGTGTCCATTGTCATGGCATCCACAATGTTTGACGTTAGACTTAGGTCGGGCGTGCCCCTCTACAGGAGGAATATTCAAAGATAGTTAATTATCCCAGTGCGACCCTACCTAGGAGTTGGAGCCTCTAGGAAAGCAACATTAGTAGGAGCGGTAAACGCCGTCCTCCTTCTTCTCTTCATCGTCGTAGTTGTAGCAGTAGCGGTAGTAGTTGTAGCAGCATCCACTTCTGTTGCGCTATGCTATGCTATGCTATGCTATGCTATGCTATGCTATGCTGCGCAATGCTATGCTGGCCTAGGCTGGGCTAGGCTATGCTATGCTATGTTATGCTATGCTGCGCTATGCTATGCTGCGCTATGCTATGCTATGCTATGCTATGCTTTTGCTTTGCCTTCGCTGTTGCCTTCACCTTTGCCTTTGCTTTTGCTTATGCTTGGCACCCAGGGAGCGCAACTGGGGGAACCGCGCGTTTGCTTTTACCTTTGCTGTTGCTTTTGCTTGGCTCCCAGGGACCGGGGGAACCGCCCGGGGCGGGTTCCAATGCCCGGCCCTTTAAGCCAAACGAGTAAGAACCCTTCTAGGCAGAGCCTAGGTAGGGAAAAATAGTCTGGGTGCGATGTGTTGACTATATTTGATTTTGATAGGTTATGTGTGGGGTATGTTTAGTTTTTTTGTTCAAAATCCCCCTGTAGGGGGACATGCCCGACCTAATGTTAGACAGGAGGACCCCGATTGCCTGTCATGGCTGGCTGGCTGAAGCGGAGCTCGACGAGGTGGAGGGGGATCACTTTCCCAGAGCGCCGCCGCCAACCAAACCAAACTCCAGAGCGCAAGGAATGCAGGGCTTGTTAGGCAGAGAAGGAGCGTTCGAGCAGGCAGCTGGCTGCAGTCCTGGATGGCGGCAGGCCTTTTTATAACGGCCGCTGCAGCACCTCCAGCTGGTGCTCGGTGGTAGCTTGATGGTTGCTCCTCCTCCTCCTCCTCCTCCTCCTCCGCCTCCCCCTCCTCCTCCTCCTCCTCCTCCTCCTCCTCCTCCTCCTCCTCCTCCTCAAAGGGAGCCAGACGTGCTGGGGCCGAGGGAGGCAATCAGGCAGGGCTCCCGTAGGGAATCCGGGCGAGCTGCGGCCCGGGGGCCACGCTCGCCACAAACAAAAGTTCGAAGGAGAAACAGCGCCATGAGCATAAACTTTTGGCGCTCCGCGCGGATGTCTCGGATCCTCCGCGCTGGCCCCCCCGGCGGCGCCTCGGGCGCCGCCCTGGCGCGCTCCGCGCGGAGCGCCACAAGTTTATGTTTATGGCGCTGCTTCTCCTAAAAATACAAGGAGCCCTCGGACCACACAATGTGGTTCGGATGGATGGGAATCCCCGCCACCAAGGGGGCCGCCCGTTCAGGGAGCTGGTGGAGTGTCAGCCGCCCCCTGGATCGTCGCCCCCTTGGCAGCACCCAGGTGCTCATCTCAAATTGCGGTGGATGACGAGCCAATCTTGCTAACGCTTTGTTTTTTTGCTCCCCTGCGAACCTGCATGCATGCAGGCCCATCGCGAACGAAGCGTTGCTGTGAACCTGCATGCATGCAGGTTCGTAGTGCGTTCCTTTCGCCGTCTTCATCCTCATCCTCGCCGTCATCACCGCCGTCGTCGTCATTGTCGTCATCGTTGGCGTCATAACCATTATCGCCGTCATCAGGCGCACCACCATCGTTATCATCGCCGTCATCAACGCCATTAGCAAGCGGATCACCCTCGCTACTAGGGAAACCAATAATGACATAAACATGACTACTCGGAGGTCCGCGCGGATTTCTCGGATCCGAGAAATCCGCGCAGACCTCAGAGTTTGTATGTTAATGTCATTCTTCGTTCCCCTAGCTTCCGCCATCATCCTCCGTTCCGGAAGCAGCGGGAGCATCGTGGTGTCGACATCAGCAAATTCACCACCGTCCACACCCGAGCCCAGCCATGCACCCAATTCCCCCCATCAGAAGCAGGGCACACAGAGCGCTGGAGGGGGGGGACGATGATTCGGGAGGAGGAGGAGGAGGCGGAGGAGGATCAGCAGCAGCAGAGCAGGATGATATGGAAGGAGAGGAGGAGGAGGAGGAAGAGGAGGAGGGAGACGACGACGACGACGACGACGACGACGACGACGACGACGACGTGGTGGGGGGGAGGCCCTGGCCCTGGGAGCCAAAG